CCCCCGTTTCCCCCCCAGGCAGGCCCCAGCATGGGGCTGAAGCCCTGGCAGAAGGCTCTGTTCCCGCTGCGCTCCGTGGCCGCCGTGGTCCGTCTCTTCGAGGCCGAGCTGCGCCACCCGACCCCCCGTTTCCCCCCCAGGCAGGCCCCAGCATGGGGCTGAAGCCCTGGCAGAAGGCTCTGTTCCCGCTGCGCTCCGTGGCCGCCGTGGTCCGTCTCTTCGAGGCCGAGCTGCGCCAGCCCGAGCCCGACCTGGTGCTGCTCTCGCTGGTGCTGGGCTTCGTGGAGCATTTCCTGGCCGTCAACCGAGTCCTCCCCACCAACGTGCCGGGGCTCACCTTCGAATCGCGGCCGGGGCCGGACCCCCAGACCCGGCTGTACTTCCCGGTGGCCGAGCTGTCCATCGTGGCCGCGCTGTACGCGCGCTTCACGGCGCAGATCCGCGGCGCCGTGGACCTGTCGCTGTACCCCCGGCCCGACGGCTGCTCCTCGCGGGAGCTGGTCCGGAAAGTGTCCGACGTCATCTGGAACAGCCTCAGCCGCTCCTACTTCAAGGACAGGGCGCACATCCAGTCGCTCTTCAGCTTTATCACGGGTGAGGAGGGGTCCCTGAGGGGTCCCTGAGGGGTCCTGAGGGGGTTTGGTGGGGCTGGGGTCTCACCTGGAACAGCCTCAGCTGCTCCTACTTCAAGGACAGGGCGCACATCCAGTCGCTCTTCAGCTTTATCATGGGTGAGGAGGGGTCCCTGAGGGGGTTTGGTGGGGCTGGGGTCTCATCCAGTCGCTGTTCAGCTTTATCACGGGTGAGGAGGGGTCCCTGAGGGGCCCTGAGGGGGTTTGGTGGGGCTGGGGTCTCACCTGGAGCAGTCTCAGCTGCTGCTGCTTCAAGGGCAGGGCGCACATCCAGTCCCTGTTCAGCTTCATCACAGGTGAGGAGGGGTCCTGAAGGGTCCTGAGGGGGTTTGGTGGGGCTGGGGTCTCACCTGGAGCAGTCTCAGCTGCTCCTGGTCCAAGGACAGGGCGCACATCCAGTCCCTGTTCAGCTTCATCACAGGTGAGGAGGGGTCCTGAAGGGTCCTGAGGGGGTTTGGTGGGGCTGGGGTCTCACCTGGAACAGCCTCAGCTGCTCCTACTTCAAGGACAGGGCGCACATCCAGTCGCTCTTCAGCTTTATCACAAGGACAGGGCGCACATCCAGTCGCTCTTCAGCTTTATCACGGGTGAGGAGGGGTCCCTGAGGGGGTTTGGTGGGGCTGGAGTCTCATCCAGGTGTGGGAACGGGGGGTTTGGGGGCTCTGCGTGCCCCTGAGCCCCCCGCCCGTGCCCCCCAGGTACCAAGCTGGACAGCTCAGGTGTGGGGGTTTTGGGGTTTTGGGGGCTGTGATTGCCCCTGAGCCCCCTCAGTGATGGGAATGGGGGGTTTGGGGGGCTCTGCGTGCCCCTGAGCCCCCTGTGCCCCCCAGGTACCAAGCTGGACAGCTCAGGTGTGGGGGTTTGGGGGGCTCTGCGTGCCCTCAATGATGGGTTTGGGGGGCTCTGCGTGCCCCCGGGCTGAGAGGATGCGAAAATGGGGGGCAGGGGTACGAGGATGGGGGACACTGGGACAAGGATGGGGACAGGGGGGCTCCAGGGGGTGCTGGGGACACTGAGGAGCCCCTGGGACACAGAGCGCTGGCAGTGCAGCGAGGGGGCACAGGTGGGCGTGTCCCTGTGTCCCCTGTGTCACCTGTGTCCCTGTGTCCCTGTGTCACCTGTGTCACCTGTGTCCCTGTGTCACCTGTGTCCCCTGTGTCACCTGTCCCCAGAGCTGTACCTGGGCAGGGGGGCACAGGTGGATGTGTCCCCCTGTCCCTTGTGTCCCTGTCCCCAGAGCTGGCTGTACCTGGGCAGGGGGGCACAGGTGGATGTGTCCCCATGTCCCCCATGTCCCCTGTGTCCCCAGAGCTGGCTGTACCTGGGCAGGGGGCACAGGTGGATGTGTCCCCGTGTCCCCATGTCCCCTGTGTCCCCTGTCCCCAGAGCTGGCTGTACCTGGGCAGGGGGCACAGGTGGATGTGTCCCCATGTCTCGTGTCCCCATGTCCCCTGTGTCACCTGTCCATGTGTCCCCAGAGCTGTACCTGGGCAGGGGGCACAGGTGGATGTGTCCCCGTGTCCCCATGTCCCCTGTGTCCCCTGTCCCCAGAGCTGGCTGTACCTGGGTAGGGGGGCACAGGTGGATGTGTCCCCGTGTCCCCATGTCCCCGTGTCCCCTGTCCCCAGAGCTGGCTGTACCTGAAGGGCTCCTACCTGCGCTGCACGCGGCACATGGAGGTGGCGTTCATGGTGTGCGCCATTAACCCGTCCATCGACGGCCACACCGACAGCCTGGAGCTGCTGCAGCTGCAGCAGGTGAGGCCCAGGTGTGACCCGGGGTGGCCCAGGGGTGGGGCAGGGCCGGCCCAGGTGTGACCCAGGTGTGGCCCAGGTGTGGGGCAGGTGTGAGCAAGGGCTGGCCCAGGTGAGGGGCAGGGCTGGGGCAGGGCCAGCCCAGGTGTGACCCGGGGTGGCCCAGGGGTGGGGCAGGGCCGGCCGAGGTGTGACCCAGGTGTGGGGCAAGACTGGCCCAGGTGAGGGGCAGGGTTTGGCCAGGTGTGGCCCAGGTGTGGGGCAGGGCTGACCCAGGTGAGGAGCAGGACTGACCCAGGTGTGACCCAGGTGTGGGGCAGGGCTGACCCAGGTGAGGAGCAGGACTGACCCAGGTGTGACCCAGGTGTGGGGCAGGGCTGACCCAGGTGAGGAGCAGGACTGACCCAGGTGTGACCCAGGTGTGGGGCAGGGCTGACCCAGGTGAGGAGCAGGACTGACCCAGGTGTGACCCAGGTGTGGGGCAGGGCTGACCCAGGTGAGGAGCAGGACTGACCCAGGTGTGACCCAGGTGTGGGGCAGGGCTGACCCAGGTGAGGAGCAGGACTGACCCAGGTGTGACCCAGGTGTGGGGCAGGGCTGACCCAGGTGAGGAGCAGGACTGACCCAGGTGTGACCCAGGTGTGGGGCAGGACTGACCCAGGTGTGGCCCAGGTGTGGGGCAGGACTGGCCCAGGTGTGACCCAGGTGAGGAGCACCCCCACATCTCCCCTTCCTCCCCCCTGCAGCGCCTGCTGTGGCTGCTCTACGACATGGGGCACCTGGACAGGTGAGAGCGACCCCCAACCCACCACGGGGCTGCCCCCCAAGCTGCCCTGGGACCCCCCCAACCCTCGGTGAACCCCACAGGTACCCCATGGCTCTGGGGAACCTGGCCGACCTGGAGGAGCTGGAACCCACCCCGGGCAGACCCGACCCCCTCACCCTGTACCACCAGGTGAGCACGGAGGGGGGGGTTTGGGGGGCTCGGGGGTGTGCCCAGGTGTGTGCTGACCCCTCCCCACGACCCCCAGGGCATCCACTCTGCCCGCACCTACTACAACAACGAGCACATCTACCCCTACCTGTACCTGGCCGGCTTCCACTGCCGCAACAAGAATGTCAAGGAGGCGCTGGAGGCCTGGGCTGACACGGCCACCGTCATCCAGGAGTGAGTGGGGGGCTCGGGGGGGGTCCTAGGAGGTACCTGGGAGGTCTTTGGGTTACCTGTGGGGTCCTGCTCCTGCCCCCTGGGCCGGGGGAGATCCCTCCCTCCCTCACGTGGGGGTGTTCAGGACTTGGGGGGGTGACCAGTCCCGCTTTTTGGGGGGGTCCATATTCCCCCTGTGTACCCCCACCCAGGGGTGGGCTCTTGGGGTATCCCTGTTCTTTATGGACTCTTTTAGGGGTCCCCATGGCTGTGGGGCAGATCCCAAGCCCCGTGTGCCCCCCCGAGGCCTGTGTGCCCCTCAAGCCCCCGTGGGGAAGCCCCCCAAGCCTTGTGTGCCCCCCACCCCTCATAGGGCAGACCCCCAGGCCCCATGTGCACCCCAAGCCCTGTGGGGCAGCCCCCCAAGCCCATGGGGCAGCCCCCCAAGCCCCGTGTGCCCCCCCCCCCCTGCCCCCTCAGCTACAATTACTGCCGTGAGGATGAGGAGATCTACAAGGAATTCTTCGACGTGGCCAACGACGTCATCCCCAACCTGCTCAAGGAGGCGGCGGCCGAGCCCCCCCCGGGGGCTGAGGTGGGACCTGGAGACCCCCAAATTTGGGGGCACCTGGGTGGGGGGTGGGGGGCTGTGTGCGTCCTGACCCCATTCTGGCTCTGAATTTTGGGAAATTTTGGCAAACCCCCCACCCCGATCTCCCGCCGTGGCCGGGCTGTAGTGCCCCTTACCCCCTTTTATGGGGTCCCCCCACGCTTTTGGGGATCCCCTCTGACTTGGGGGGGTTTGCAGGGGTCTCCCGGGGGTCTCCCAGCCCTGCAGGACCCCGAGTGCTTCGCTCACCTGCTGCGCTTCTACGACGGCATCTGCAGGTGGGAGGAGGGCAGCCCCACGCCCGTGCTGCACGTGGGCTGGGCCACCTTCCTCGTGCAGTCCCTGGGCCGCTTCGATGGCCAGGTCAGGATTTTGGGGGTCCCCCGAGGGGTTTGGGGGGTCCCCCGGGGGGTTTGGGGGTCCCCTGAGGGGTTTGGGGGTCTCCCAAGGGGTTTGGGGGGGCTCTGGGGGCAGGGCAGCCCCACGCCCGTGCTGCACGTGGGCTGGGCCACCTTCCTCGTGCAGTCCCTGGGCCGCTTCGATGGCCAGGTCAGGATTTTGGGGGTCCCTCGGGGGGTTTGGGGGTCCCCTGAGGGGTTTGGGGGTCTCCCAAGGGGCTTGGGAGGGCTCTGGGGGCAGGGCAGCCCCACGCCCGTGCTGCACGTGGGCTGGGCCACCTTCCTCGTGCAGTCCCTGGGCCGCTTCGATGGCCAGGTCAGGATTTTGGGGGTCCCTCGGGGGGTTTGGGGGTCCCCTGAGGGGTTTGGGGGTCTCCCAAGGGGCTTGGGAGGGCTCTGGGGGCAGGGCAGCCCCACGCCCGTGCTGCACGTGGGCTGGGCCACCTTCCTCGTGCAGTCCCTGGGCCGCTTCGATGGCCAGGTCAGGATTTTGGGGGTCCCTCGGGGGGTTTGGGGGTCCCCTGAGGGGTTTGGGGGTCTCCCAAGGGGCTTGGGAGGGCTCTGGGGGCAGGGCAGCCCCACGCCCGTGCTGCACGTGGGCTGGGCCACCTTCCTCGTGCAGTCCCTGGGCCGCTTCGATGGCCAGGTCAGGATTTTGGGGGTCCCTCGGGGGGTTTGGGGGTCCCCTGAGGGGTTTGGGGGTCTCCCAAGGGGCTTGGGAGGGCTCTGGGGGCAGGGCAGCCCCACGCCCGTGCTGCACGTGGGCTGGGCCACCTTCCTCGTGCAGTCCCTGGGCCGCTTCGATGGCCAGGTCAGGATTTTGGGGGTCCCTCGGGGGGTTTGGGGGTCCCCTGAGGGGTTTGGGGGTCTCCCAAGGGGCTTGGGAGGGCTCTGGGGGCAGGGCAGCCCCACGCCCGTGCTGCACGTGGGCTGGGCCACCTTCCTCGTGCAGTCCCTGGGCCGCTTCGATGGCCAGGTCAGGATTTTGGGGGTCCCTCGGGGGGTTTGGGGGTCCCCTGAGGGGTTTGGGGGTCTCCCAAGGGGCTTGGGAGGGCTCTGGGGGCAGGGCAGCCCCACGCCCGTGCTGCACGTGGGCTGGGCCATCCCCCAAAGTCCCAGTGTCCCGCTGCTCTTCCTCAAGAGATCCCGCAAAGGGTCCTAGGGACCCCCAAAACCCCCCCAAAATGGTCCTAGGGACCCCCCAAAAAATCCCTCAAATCTCCCCCAAAGTCCCAGTGTCCCGTTGCTCTTCCTCAAGAGATCCCGCAAAGGGTCCTAGGGACCCCCAAAACCCCCCCAAAATGGTCCTAGGGACCCCCCAAAAAATCCCTCAAATCTCCCCCAAAGTCCCAGTGTCCCGTTGCTCTTCCTCAAGAGATCCCGCAAAGGGTCCTAGGGACCCCCAAAAATCCTAAAATCCCCAAAGTCCCAGTGCCCCCCCTGCTCTTCCTCAAGAGACCCTGAAAAAGGTCCTAGGGACCCCCAAAATCCCCCCAAAAGGGTCCTAGGGACACCCAAAAAATCCCTCAAATCAGTGTCCCCCTGCCCTTCCTCAAGAGACCCCGGAAAGGGTTCTAGGGACCCCCAAAAATCCCCCCAAAAATGGTCCTAGAGACCCCCCAAAAAATCCCTCAAATCCCCCAAAGTCCCAGTGCCCCGCTGTCCTTCCTCAAGAGATCCCAGAAAGGGTCCTAGAAACCCCCAAAAAAAACCCCAAAATGGTCCTAGGGACCCCCCATCTAGGGACCCCCAAAAATCCCCCCAAAAATGGTCCTAGAGACCCCCCAAAAAATCCCTCAAATCCCCCAAAGTCCCAGTGCCCCGCTGTCCTTCCTCAAGAGATCCCAGAAAGGGTCCTAGAAACCCCCAAAAAAAACCCCAAAATGGTCCTAGGGACCCCCCAAAAATGGTTCTAGGGACCCCCAAAAATCCCTCAAATCAGTGTCCCCCTGCCCTTCCTCAAGAGACCCCGCAAAGGCTCCTAGGGACCCCCAAAATCCCCCCAAAAATGGTCCTAGGGACCCCCAAAAATGGTCCCAGTGACCCCGCAAGGGCTTCTAAGGACCCCCAAAAATCCCAGAGAAACCCAACAGAAAGCTCCTAGGGACCCCCAAAAATGGTCCTAAAACCCCCAAAAACCCCAAAATCCCAGACAAACCCCGCAAAAGGGTCCCAGGGACCCCAAAAAACCCCAAAATCCCAGCCTGGCCCTGCCTCGGGTGCAGCTGCCCCAATCCTTTCTCAACAGGTGCCAGAAAAAAATCTGTCCCCAAAATGGGGGCGGGGGAATTTGGGGTGGAATTTTGGAGGAATTTGGGGTGGAATTTTGGAGGAATTTTTGGAGGAATTTTGGGAGGAATTTGAGGTGGAATTTTGGAGGAATTTTTTGAGGAATTTGGGGTGGAATTTTGGAGGATTTTGGGTCGGAATTTTGATTTTTGGAGGATTTTGGGGCGGAATTTTGGAGGAATTTGGGGTGGAATTTTGGAGGAATTTTTGGAGGAATTTTGGGAGGAATTTGAGGTGGAATTTTGGAGGAATTTGGGGGGGAATTTTGGAGAAATTTTTGGTGGATTTTGGGGTGGAATTCTGGAGGAATTTGGGGCGGAATTTTGATTTTTGGAGGAATTTGGGGTGGAATTTTGGAGGAATTTTTGGAGGAATTTTGGGAGGAATTTGAGGGCAGCAGCCGCGGCCCGAGGAGGGCGCGGGGGGAGCGGGCACCGGGCCGGGAGATGCGGGGGGACGGCCGGGAGCCGCGCACAAGCCCCGGAGGGCAGGTACGGCCCGGGGCAGGGGGATACCGGGGGGGTCAGGGTGGATTTGGGGCCCTCCGGAGGGTCTGGGGGGCGTCCCCGGGTTGTAACCCCCCGCTCTGGGGGTCCCCGGCACTTAAACCCTCCCGACTTGTGTGTCCAGGGGTTGTAACCCCCCCCGATTCGGGGGTCCCGGCGTTATAACCCTCCGATTTGGGGGTCCCCGGGCTCTGATCCCCGCGTTTTGAGGGTCCCCTGGATTCTGATCCCCTTGATTTGGGGGTTTTCGGGGGTCCCTGGGCTCTGATCTCCCCAATCTGGGGGTCTCCGGACTCTGATCCCCACCGGTTTGGGGGTCCCTGGGCTCTGATCTCCCCAATCTGGGGGTCTCCGGACTCTGATCCCCACCGGTTTGGGGGTCCCTGGGCTCTGATCTCCCCAATCTGGGGGTCTCCGGACTCTGATCCCCACCGGTTTGGGGGTCCCTGGGCTCTGATCTCCCCAATCTGGGGGTCTCCGGACTCTGATCCCCACCGGTTTGGGAGTCCCCGGGCTCTGATCCCCCCAATTTGAGGGTCCCTGGATTCTGATCCCCCCAATTTGGGGGTCTCTGCGCTCTGATCCCCCCACTTTGGGGGTCCCCGGGCTCTGATCCCTGCATTTTGAGGGTCCCTGGGCTCTGATCCCCCCGATTTGGGGGTTTCCGGGGGTTGTACCCCTCGATTCGGGGGTCCCTGGGTTCTGATCCCTCCAATTCGGGGGTTCCCGGGTTATAACCCCCTGATTTGAGGGTTACTGTGCTCTGATCCCCCCGATTTGGGGGTTTCCGGGGGTTGTACCCCTCGATTCGGGGGTCCCTGGGTTCTGATCCCTCCAATTCGGGGGTTCCCGGGTTATAACCCCCTGATTTGAGGGTTACTGTGCTCTGATCCCCCCGATTTGGGGGTTTGCGGTGATTGTAACCCCCCGATTTGGGGGTGCCTGGGCTCTGATCCGCCCAATTTGGGGGTCCCCAGGCTCTGATTACCCAAATTTGCGGGTCCCTGGGCTCTGATCCCCCCCCACTCTGGGGGTTCCCAGGCTCTGATCCCCACGATTTGGGGGTCCTCGGCCTCTGATCCCCCCACTTTGGTGGTCCTTGCACTCTGATCCCCCCCAATTCGGGGGTCCCTGTGCTCTGACCGCCCCGGTTTGGGTTTCCCCGGGCTCTGACCCCCCCAATTCGGGGGTCCCCGGGCTCTGACTCCCCCAATTCGGGGGTCCCCGGGCTCTGACCCCCCCAATTCGGGGGGGTTCCGCCACCTCCACACCTCCTTGTCCCCCCCGGCCGGGCTAACACGTGTCAGACCACGCGAGGCCAAGGTGGAACCCTCAGAACGGGACCCCCAAACCCCCCCGGTGGGAACAGAACTTCCCCTTTTACCCCCCCAAAACGCCCCCAGACCCCCCAAAACACCCTCCGGGAGGGTCAGCGCTGCCGGCTTTGCCCGAACCGCGGCGTTTTCCCCCCAGACTTCCCGCGGAAGCGGAAGCGCAGCCGCTGGAACCAGGACTCGCTGGAGCAGAAGACGGTGATCCCGGGGATGCCCACGGTGATCCCGCCCGGGCTGACCCGCGAGCAGGAGCGCGCCTACATCGGTAACGGACCGGGGGGGACCCGCGAGGCCGGGGGCAGCGGCCCCGGGGTGCGCCTCAGGGCTGGGGGCTGGGGTCTGGGCTGGGGGTTTGGGGTCAGAGCTGAGGGTTTGGGGTGAGGGCTTTGGGTTTAGGGTCAGGGCTGAGGGTTTAGGGTCAGGGCTGAGGGTTTGGGGTGAGGGCTGAAGTTTTAGGGTCAGGGCTGAGGGTTTAGGGTCAGGGCTGAGGGTTTGGGGTCAGGGCTTTGGGTTTGGGGTCAGGGCTGAAGGTTTAGGGTCAGGGCTTTGGGTTTGGGGTCAGAGCTGAGGATTTGGGGTCAGGGCTGAGGGTTTGGGGTCAGAGCTTTGGGCTTAGGGTGAGGGCTTTGGGTTTAGGGTCAGGGCTGAGGGTTTAGGGTCAGGGCTGAGGGTTTGGGGTGAGGGCTGAAGTTTTAGGGTCAGGGCTTTGGGTTTAGGGTCAGGGCTGAGGGTTTGGGGTCAGGGCTGAAGGTTTAGGGTCAGGGCTTTGGGTTTGGGGTCAGGGCTGAGGGTTTGGGGTCAGAGCTAGAGCTCGGGGTTTAGGATCAGAATTTGGGGTGTAGGCTCAGAGCTCAGGGTTTAGGGTCAGAGCATTGGATTCAGGGTCAGAGCTCAAGATTTAGGGTCAGAGTTTGGGGTCAGAGCTTGCAGTGTGGGCTCAAAGCTTTGGGTTTGGGGTCAGGGCTTTGGGTTTAGGGTCAGGGCTTTGGGTTTAGGGTCAGAGCTGAGGGTTTGGGGTCAGGGCTGGGGGGTGTGGGGTCAGGGCTGAGGGTTTAGGGTCACAACTCAGGATTTGGGGTCAGGGCTTTGGGTTTAGGGTCAGGGCTTTGGGTTTAGGGTCAGAGCTGAGGGTTTGGGGTCAGGGCTGGGGGGTGTGGGGTCAGGGCTGAGGGTTTAGGGTCACAACTCAGGATTTGGGGTCAGGGCTTTGGGTTTGGGGTCAGGGCTTTGGGTTTAGGGTCAGGGCTTTGGGTTTAGGGTCAGAGCTGAGGGTTTAGGGTCAGGGCTGGGGGTGTGGGGTCAGGGCTTTGGATTCAGGGTTAGAGCTGAGGGTTCAGGGTCAGGGCTTTGGGTTCGGGGTCAGAGCTTTGGGGTTCAGGGTCAGAGGTCAGGGTTTAGGGTCAGGGTTTGGGGTGAGAGCTTTGGGTTTAGGGTCAGAGCTTTGGATTTAGGTCAGAGCTGGGGTTATGGGGTTAGAGCTTGGGGTTTAGGGTCAGAACTCGGGGTTTGGGGTCAGAGCTTTGAGTTTAGGGTCAGAGTTGCACGTTTGGGGTCAGGGCTTTGGATTTAGGGTCAGAGCTTGGGGTTTGGGGTCAGAGCTCGGGGTTTAGGATCAGAATTTGGGGTGTAGGCTCAGAGCTCAGGGTTTAGGGTCAGAGCATTGGATTCAGGGTCAGAGCTCAAGATTTAGGGTCAGAGTTTGGGGTCAGAGCTTGCAGTGTGGGCTCAAAGCTTTGGGTTTGGGGTCAGGGCTTTGGGTTTAGGGTCAGGGCTTTGGGTTTAGGGTCAGAGCTGAGGGTTTGGGGTCAGGGCTGGGGGGTGTGGGGTCAGGGCTGAGGGTTTAGGGTCACAACTCAGGATTTGGGGTCAGGGCTTTGGGTTTAGGGTCAGGGCTTTGGGTTTAGGGTCAGAGCTGAGGGTTTGGGGTCAGGGCTGGGGGGTGTGGGGTCAGGGCTGAGGGTTTAGGGTCACAACTCAGGATTTGGGGTCAGGGCTTTGGGTTTGGGGTCAGGGCTTTGGGTTTAGGGTCAGGGCTTTGGGTTTAGGGTCAGAGCTGAGGGTTTAGGGTCAGGGCTGGGGGTGTGGGGTCAGGGCTTTGGATTCAGGGTTAGAGCTGAGGGTTCAGGGTCAGGGCTTTGGGTTCGGGGTCAGAGCTTTGGGGTTCAGGGTCAGAGGTCAGGGTTTAGGGTCAGGGTTTGGGGTGAGAGCTTTGGGTTTAGGGTCAGAGCTTTGGATTTAGGTCAGAGCTGGGGTTATGGGGTTAGAGCTTGGGGTTTAGGGTCAGAACTCGGGGTTTGGGGTCAGAGCTTTGAGTTTAGGGTCAGAGTTGCACGTTTGGGGTCAGGGCTTTGGATTTAGGGTCAGAGCTTGGGGTTTGGGGTCAGAGCTCGGGGTTTAGGATCAGAATTTGGGGTGTAGGCTCAGAGCTCAGGGTTTAGGGTCAGAGCATTGGATTCAGGGTCAGAGCTCAAGATTTAGGGTCAGAGTTTGGGGTCAGAGCTTGCAGTGTGGGCTCAAAGCTTTGGGTTTGGGGTCAGGGCTTTGGGTTTAGGGTCAGGGCTTTGGGTTTAGGGTCAGAGCTGAGGGTTTGGGGTCAGGGCTGGGGGGTGTGGGGTCAGGGCTGAGGGTTTAGGGTCACAACTCAGGATTTGGGGTCAGGGCTTTGGGTTTAGGGTCAGGGCTTTGGGTTTAGGGTCAGAGCTGAGGGTTTGGGGTCAGGGCTGGGGGGTGTGGGGTCAGGGCTGAGGGTTTAGGGTCACAACTCAGGATTTGGGGTCAGGGCTTTGGGTTTGGGGTCAGGGCTTTGGGTTTAGGGTCAGGGCTTTGGGTTTAGGGTCAGAGCTGAGGGTTTAGGGTCAGGGCTGGGGGTGTGGGGTCAGGGCTTTGGATTCAGGGTTAGAGCTGAGGGTTCAGGGTCAGGGCTTTGGGTTCGGGGTCAGAGCTTTGGGGTTCAGGGTCAGAGGTCAGGGTTTAGGGTCAGGGTTTGGGGTGAGAGCTTTGGGTTTAGGGTCAGAGCTTTGGATTTAGGTCAGAGCTGGGGTTATGGGGTTAGAGCTTGGGGTTTAGGGTCAGAACTCGGGGTTTGGGGTCAGAGCTTTGAGTTTAGGGTCAGAGTTGCACGTTTGGGGTCAGGGCTTTGGATTTAGGGTCAGAGCTTGGGGTTTGGGGTCAGAGCTCGGGGTTTAGGATCAGAATTTGGGGTGTAGGCTCAGAGCTCAGGGTTTAGGGTCAGAGCATTGGATTCAGGGTCAGAGCTCAAGATTTAGGGTCAGAGTTTGGGGTCAGAGCTTGCAGTGTGGGCTCAAAGCTTTGGGTTTGGGGTCAGGGCTTTGGGTTTAGGGTCAGGGCTTTGGGTTTAGGGTCAGAGCTGAGGGTTTGGGGTCAGGGCTGGGGGGTGTGGGGTCAGGGCTGAGGGTTTAGGGTCACAACTCAGGATTTGGGGTCAGGGCTTTGGGTTTAGGGTCAGGGCTTTGGGTTTAGGGTCAGAGCTGAGGGTTTGGGGTCAGGGCTGGGGGGTGTGGGGTCAGGGCTGAGGGTTTAGGGTCACAACTCAGGATTTGGGGTCAGGGCTTTGGGTTTGGGGTCAGGGCTTTGGGTTTAGGGTCAGGGCTTTGGGTTTAGGGTCAGAGCTGAGGGTTTAGGGTCAGGGCTGGGGGTGTGGGGTCAGGGCTTTGGATTCAGGGTTAGAGCTGAGGGTTCAGGGTCAGGGCTTTGGGTTCGGGGTCAGAGCTTTGGGGTTCAGGGTCAGAGGTCAGGGTTTAGGGTCAGGGTTTGGGGTGAGAGCTTTGGGTTTAGGGTCAGAGCTTTGGATTTAGGTCAGAGCTGGGGTTATGGGGTTAGAGCTTGGGGTTTAGGGTCAGAACTCGGGGTTTGGGGTCAGAGCTTTGAGTTTAGGGTCAGAGTTGCACGTTTGGGGTCAGGGCTTTGGATTTAGGGTCAGAGCTTGGGGTTTGGGGTCAGAGCTCGGGGTTTAGGATCAGAATTTGGGGTGTAGGCTCAGAGCTCAGGGTTTAGGGTCAGAGCATTGGATTCAGGGTCAGAGCTCAAGATTTAGGGTCAGAGTTTGGGGTCAGAGCTTGCAGTGTGGGCTCAAAGCTTTGGGTTTGGGGTCAGGGCTTTGGGTTTAGGGTCAGAGCTGAGGGTTTGGGGTCAGGGCTGGGGGGTGTGGGGTCAGGGCTGAGGGTTTAGGGTCACAACTCAGGATTTGGGGTCAGGGCTTTGGGTTTGGGGTCAGGGCTTTGGGTTTAGGGTCAGGGCTTTGGGTTTAGGGTCAGAGCTGAGGGTTTGGGGTCAGGGCTGGGGGGTGTGGGGTCAGGGCTGAGGGTTTAGGGTCACAACTCAGGATTTGGGGTCAGGGCTCAGGATTTGGGGTCAGGGCTTTGGGTTTAGGGTCAGGGCTTTGGGTTTAGGGTCAGAGCTGAGGGTTTAGGGTCAGGGCTGGGGGTGTGGGGTCAGGGCTTTGGATTCAGGGTTAGAGCTGAGGGTTCAGGGTCAGGGCTTTGGGTTCGGGGTCAGAGCTTTGGGGTTCAGGGTCAGAGGTCAGGGTTTAGGGTCAGGGTTTGGGGTGAGAGCTTTGGGTTTAGGGTCAGAGCTTTGGATTTAGGTCAGAGCTGGGGTTATGGGGTTAGAGCTTGGGGTTTAGGGTCAGAACTCGGGGTTTGGGGTCAGAGCTTTGAGTTTAGGGTCAGAGTTGCACGTTTGGGGTCAGGGCTTTGGATTTAGGGTCAGAGCTTGGGGTTTGGGGTCAGAGCTCGGGGTTTAGGATCAGAATTTGGGGTGTAGGCTCAGAGCTCAGGGTTTAGGGTCAGAGCATTGGATTCAGGGTCAGAGCTCAAGATTTAGGGTCAGAGTTTGGGGTCAGAGCTTGCAGTGTGGGCTCAAAGCTTTGGGTTTGGGGTCAGGGCTTTGGGTTTAGGGTCAGGGTTTGGGGTTTGGACTCAGAACTCGGGGTTTAGGGTCAGAACTTTGGGATGTGGGCTCAGAACTCAGGGTTTGGGGTCAGAACTCGGAGTTCAGGGTCAGAATTTGGGGTGTGGGCTCAGAGCTCGGGGTTTAGGGTCAGAGCTTAGGGTTTAGGGTCAGAACTCGGGGTTTAGGGTCAGAACTCAGGGTTTAGGCTCAGAACTCAGGGTTTAGGGTCAGAACTCGGGGTTTGGGCTCAGAACTCGGGGTTTAGGGTCAGAACTCGGGGTTTAGGGTCAGAACTCAGGGTTTGGGCTCAGAACTCAGGGTTTAGGGTCAGAACTCGGGGTTTAGGGTCAGAACTCGGGGTTTGGGCTCAGAACTCAGGGTTTAGGGTCAGAATTCAGGGTTTAGGGTCAGAATTCAGGGTTTAGGGTCAGAACTCGGGGTTTGGGCTCAGATTTCTTTGCCCACCCCCCCGAGGCTGAGGGGCGAGCAGGAGCACGCTCACATCAGTGAAGTTTTGGGGGAAAAACGGGATTTTAGGGTCAGAACCTACAGGTTTTGGGGTTAAAATCCCCCTGGAATTGGGGTTAGAACCCCCCTGAGATTCTGGGGTTAAACCTCCAGGATTTGGGATTAAATTCCCTGTGCTCACATCAGTAACATCCCCAAATTCTGGATAAAATCTGGGGAATTTGGGATCAGAACCTCCCCAGGGTTTGGGGTCAGAACCCCCTGGGATTTAGGGGAAATTAATTAACCCAAAACTCGCAATTTTGGGCACTAACGTGCAGGTTTAGGTGAAAATGTGTCAAAATAATGCAACAATCTCTTGGTTAACCACGTTCATTTTTTGGTGATAACCTAATTTTGGGTGTTCTTGTGTGTTTTGAGGTAACAATGTTCTTCTGATAACCTTTATTTTTAGTAATAATCAGGTGTTTTAGGTAATAACGACTGTGTTTAATTACATCTCCCGTTCTAGGTAATAACAGTTGCTTTTTTTAGTAGTAGTCACGTGTTTTGGGTTATAACGTGGTTATTTTAGGCAATGTGTATTTTTTTAGGAATAATCTCTCGTTTTAGGTAAAATTGTGATTGTTTTAGGTAAAGCTGTGGTTGTTTTAGGTAATAACGTTTACCTTCTGTAGTAATGGTTTCACATTTTAGGTGACAGTGTGGTATTTTAGGAAATAATGTCTTTTTTTTGCCTGATAATCTTTTGTTTTAGGTAATAATGTCTGGTTTTATGATAACAATCTCTAGATTTTCCATAAGAATTCAGGAGGTTTGGTAATAATGTGCTTTTTTTGGGTAATCCTGTGGTTTTTTTGATAACGATGTGATTATTTTTCTTTTGTGATAACCTGCTTTTTTTGGCAATAACACGTTTTTTGGGGTAACAATGTGTTTTTTTGGGGTAATAACCTGCTGTCATCGCTAAGAAGGTGTATTTTTCTGCTAATAATGTCAATTTTAGGTAACAACACCTGCTTTTTCTCACCGTAACCATTTGGTTTTAGGGCAGTAATGCCTGATTTTGGTGCCATGGAGCCGGTGTAGGTATTAAAAAAAAAACCAAAAAAAAACAAAAAAAAAGGATTTTTCACCCGGCCAAGCCGGGCTGGGGCAGGATGATTTTGGGGGAGGAATGATTTATTTATTCTTAATTTAATTTTTTTTTTTTTTGGGTGTAAAATGTGGGTGTTTTGTAACTGTGTCTCTCTCACCTCTCCGGGACCGGGTTCCTTCCAGTGCAACTGCAGATCGAAGACCTGACCCGCAAACTGCGCACGGGAGACCTGGGCATCCCCCCTAACCCCGAGGACAGGTCGGGACCTCCCCCCCCTGCCCCCCCCGGGCACCCCCCCGGGCCCCCCCGTGAGCCGCAAGCAGCGCACGGGAGAGACCCCTGGGAGTGCCGCCCCCCACCCCCAATCCAGGACAGGTCGGGACCCCTCCCCTTCTTCAGTTTCCCCCCTGGATTTGGGGGTGCTGCTGCTCTGGATTACCCCCTCCCCCAGTTTGGGGTGTTCCCCCCTCAGTTTGGGGGTGCTGCTCTGGAACCTCCCCCCCCCCACACACACACCCAATTTGGGGTGTTCCCCCTGAGTTTGGGGGTGCTGAGCCCAGCCTGGGCCTCGTTAGGTGAGGATTAACGACCCGTGGTGGTGGCTTAATGAGCTCTGGGGGCTTAATGAGGCCCCAGCCCCACTGCACCCCCTTTTTCCTCTGCTCCCCCCCCCCTTTTCACCCCAGTTTGTCTCTGCAGGGGGGGCAGAGCTGCCGTTGTCCCTACAAAGGGCCAAATTCCCCCCTCCGCTCCCTCTCTTCACCTTTTCCTCCTGTTTTGGCCCCATTTTTCTGTGGCAGGGCAGGACGGGGTCCCTCCCCCCTCAGGGACCCCTGCTCTGGGGGGGTCCCCAGCTCTGTGGGGGTCCCTCACCTTCCAGGGGTCCCCAACCCTGGGGGGGTCCCTGTGTCCTCAGGGATCCCTCACCTTTCGGGGGTCCCTCACCCCGTGGTGGCCGGGGGGGCCCTCCCGAGTCCCAGCACCGGGGGGGGGGGAGGGGGACACCCTCCGGCCCCCCAGGTTTTGGGGGTCACACCACCCCCCCCCTACCACACACAGCCCCAGGTTTTGGGGGTCTCCCAGGTTTGGGGGGGGCGCAGGCCCCCCGCGCTAACCCAGCCTTGCTCCTGCAGCGCCCCGGGCCGAGGCCGCTCCCCCGCTGCGGCGTCGTTAGCGCTGGTTGGGGGGGGGAATTAATTAATGAATTAACGATTAATCACGAGCGGGGACAGTGACGTCGCAGTTCCACCGAGGACCCGGCTGCTGCCAACCCCGAAAAGTCGCTTTTTCCCCCCAAACCGGGGGCAGGTTCGACTGTCGCCCGCGCCGGCTGTTTTTGGAGGATCCGCCTTAATCTCTTCCCTTCTTGCAGCCGCTGCCAAAATTCGCTATTTTGGGGGGGGGAAGGGGAGCCAAGGGCCGATTTAACCAAACCCGAGCGATTCTGACTCTATTTTTTTTTCCTTCCTCGCTGATAATTCTGATTTTTAATCATAATCTGATTTTCTCACCCCGACACGGCTCAGCTCAAGCGACCTTGACTCTTCCCTCCGGGGCTGCCAAAGCCGCGCGGCCCCCCCAGACAGGGACCTTTTCCTCCTAGAAACCGGGAAATTGGGCAAAAAAAAACCGGGGAGAACTGGGCACAACCTGGGAGAAAAGGAGCAGGAACGGGGCAAAGCCAGGGAGAAACAACAAAACCGGGCACAGAGGGGCCAAACCCTGACCCCCGCAGAGAAACGGGCAAAGAGGGGCCGCTGGTTTGGGGAGGGGGAGGGCTGTGCTCTGCTGGCCTTAATTGGGCACTAATTAACGCTCCCCCCCCCAATTATCCCCTCCTGGGGGTGGGTGGGGGCAGTGGCACAGGGTGGCGATGGGGGGAAGGGTTGTGGTGGTTTGGGAAGGGGGGGGTCCTGACCCCTCCCCACCCCTCCACATCCCGCTCCCCATCGCCAACAGCGAGGGGAGGGAAGACCCCCCCACACCCGGGGGCTGGGAGGGTTTGGGAGGGGGTTCTGGGGGTACAGCCCCCCCGCCGTGAGGGGTCTGGGGGCTTCCCAGTGACCCCCCCACCCCCCGGAGCAGGTCCCCCTCCCCGGAGCCCATCTACAACAGCGAGGGGAAGCGCCTGAACACGCGGGAGTTCCGCACGCGCAAGAAGCTGGAGGAGGAGAGGCACAACCTCATCACCGAGATGGTGGCCCTGAACCCCGACTTCAAGCCCCCTGCTGATTACAAGTGAGGAGAGACCCCTCCCCTCACCCTGATTTGGGGCTGGTTCTGCCCAGTTTGGGGTTCTCCCAAGGGTTTGAGCCCCGGTTTTTGTCCTTCCCCAGGCCGCCGGCGACGCGGGTGAGCGACAAGGTGATGATCCCCCAGGATGAGTACCCCGAGATCAACTTCGTGGGGCTCCTCATCGGGCCCAGGTGGGCACCCCGAGATTCTGGGGGGGTGAGAGGGCTCTGGGGCTGGGGGGGGTCCCCTCAGCTTCGCCCCAGGAATGTGGGGAGTTCCTGAAAACACCGAGGTGCTGCTGGGTCCCCATGGCAACACCTGCGTGGGTGTCCCCACAGTCCTCCTTCAGTCCCCCCTAATTAACACAGGGCTGTTTAATGACACACCCTTGTCCGTAATGAGCCTGAGCTCCTGATGAGCTAGATCCCCCCTCCCCCTGATGTGGGGTCCAATCTGGGCGTGAGACCCCCCCCAAAATTCCCAAGCAGACCACAGGGAGGGAACACAACCCAGGGCAAGGGTGAAGGAGGACAGGTGGGCTCTGTGAGAGCTCTGGGTGCCCCCCACCCATCAAGCCCTGTGTGACCTCCCTGTCCTGGTGCCCCACTCCCAGGGGGAACACTCTGAAGAACATCGAGAAGGAGTGCAACGCCAAGATCATGATCAGGGGCAAGGGCTCGGTGAAGGAGGGCAAGGTGGGCCGCAAGGACGGGCAGATGCTGCCGGGCGAGGACGAGCCCCTGCACGCCCTGGTCACTGCCAACACCATGGAGAACGTCAAGAAAGCCGTGGAGCAGGTTTGGGGGTGTCCCTAGGGGGTTTGTTGGGGGGGGGCTGGAGGTGCAGCCCCCCTGTCTGACACCCGCTGTGCCCCCCCAGATCAGGAACATCCTGAAGCAGGGCATCGAGACCCCCGAGGACCAGAACGATCTGCGCAAGATGCAGCTGCGGGAGCTGGCGCGGCTCAACGGGACCCTGCGGGAGGATGACAACCGGTCAGAGGGGTCCCACCCCCCCAAATTTATTTAAAAATAACCCCCCAGAATCCCTGAATAATCCTTGTCCCCTCCCCAGCATCCTGAGGCCGTGGCAGAGCACCGAGACTCGCAGCATCACCAACACCACGGTGTGCACCAAGTGCGGCGGGGCCGGGCACATCGCCTCCGACTGCAAGTTTGCCAGGTGACCCCCCCCCCAAATTAACCCCCAGATCCTTGTGGGATTCCCTAAATGCTTCCCAAAAATCCACCAGATGCTCCTGAGATCCTCACAGATCTCTTGAGATCCTCTGCTTGAGGTTCCCCCTGAAATGCTCCTTAAATCCTGGAGACCTCGGCTATTCCCAAACCTTGAGATTCCCTCAATGAGCCCCGAGATCTCCCCAAACCCTCCCCAGATCCCTCAAAATCTCCTCTAAACTTCCCTGGGATTCCACCAAGCCCTCAAAGTCCCCTTGGGATCCTGCCAATCTCCCTCAGATCTCCCCCAAAACCCCCCCAAATACCCTTAAATCTTCTCAAGCCCCTCTGAAAACCCCCAGAGCTTTTCCTAGGCCGTGCACCAGAGTTAAGGTGGGGGGGATTTGGGGGTGCAGCCCCCCCCAAGCTCACCATCCCACTGGGTTGCCAGGCCTGGGGACCCACAGTCTGCACAGGACAAGGCACGGATGGACAAGGAGTACCTGTCCCTGATGGCCGAGCTGGGAGAGGCCCCGGTGTCCGTGAGCTCCAACGCCGCCCACAACAACAGCCCCTTGTCCAGCAGCCACCGTGCCGCCAGCCAGGCTGGGGGGCAGCCCCCCCCGGTGAGTGACCCCCCAAAAACACTTCTGGGAACCCCCAGAACCCACACACCCACCACTGAGATCCTGCCCCAAAACCAGCCCCTGGTCAGGTGTGGGAACAGTGAGTGACCCCCCAAAAACCCTTCTGGGAACCCCCAGAATTCACACAGCCACCCCTGAAATTCCTGCCCCAAAACCAGCCCCGGTTAGGTGTGGGAACAGTGAGTGACCCCCCCAAAAACACTTCTGGGAACCCCCAGAATTCACACAGCCACCCCTGAAATTCCTGCCCCAAAACCAGCCCCGGTTAGGTGTGGGAACAGTGAGTGACCCCCCCAAAAAACGCTCTGAGAACCCCCAGAATTCACACACCCACCCCTGAACTGCTGCCCCAAAACCAGCCCCTTGTCCAGCACCTGGTCAGGTGTGGGAACAGCCCCCTACCCAGTGAGTGACCCCCCCCAAAAACCCCTCTTTGAGCCCCCAAAATCCTCACACCCACCCCTGAACCCCCCCAAAACCAGCCCCTGGTCAGGTGTGGGAACAGTGAGTGACCCCCCAAAAACCCTTCTGGGAACCCCCAAAATCCTCATACCCACCCCTGAACTCAGCTGCCCCAAAACCAGCCCCGGTTAGGAACCCCCAGAATTCACACAAGTACTCCTGAACTTGTGCCCCAAAACCAGCCCCTGGTCAGGTGTGGGAACAGTGAGTGAGTGACCCCCCAAAAACCCCTCTGTGAGCCCCCAAAATCCTCACACCCACCCCTGAACCCCCCCAAAACCAGCCAGGAGTGGGGAGCAGTGACCCCTCCTGTGACCCCCAAGCCCCTCTTCCTGTAGATTCGCCCCCCCTGGATGAGCTCGGCGCCCTCGGAGAACCGTCCCTACCACGGGCTGCACGGGGGGCCGGGGGGGCCCGGGGGTCCCCACAGCTTCCCCCACCCCATGGCTGGCATGGGGGGGGGTCACGGGGGGCACCCCCTGCAGCACACCCCCAACGGGCCCCCCCCGTGGATGCAGCCCCACCATCCCCCCATGGGGGGGGGGCCGCACCCCCCGGGCCACCCCGGCCCCCACCACATGGGTACGGACGATCCTGGCTGGGGAGGGGGCTTGGGGTGGAAAAAAAGGGGGGGTTTGGGGTGAAAAAAGGGGGTTTTGGGGTGAAAAAAGGGTGGTTTTGGGTGACAGAAGGGGTTTTTGGGGTGACAGAAGGGGATTTTTGGGGTGAAAAATGGGTTTTTTGGGGTGGAAAGGGTATTTTGGCAGAAAAAAATGGGGGTTTGGGGTTATTAAAGGGGTCTTTGGGGTGAAAGAAAGGGATTTTGGGGTGATTAAAGGGGTTTTGGGGTGAAAAAGTGGGTTTGGGGGTGAAAAAAGGGTTTTTTGGGGTGAAACAAGGGGGTTTTAGGGTGAAAAAGGGGGTTTTGGGGTGAAAAAAGGGTTTTTTGGGGTGACAAAGGGGGAGTTGGGCTTTCCCACTCTCCCGCAGAGTGGGGAGCTGGGGAGATTTTGGTGAGAAATTGGGGTGGGGGGCGTGCTCAGGAGATTTTGGGGGATTTTGGGGGGTTCGGCCACCTTTGTTCATCTTTAACATCAACCTGGAAAGGTTTTGGGTGGGGGGCGCAGGATTTTGGGGTGGGG